TCAATCTTCTTACTTGCACAGCACTTGTCCGACCAATCTATTCTTCTTCTGTATACCTTTATTTTGCTTTCTGATCTCATCTGAAATGACCAGACTTTTCCTCTTTATTTCTTGTATCCTCTTCTTTCTCCATCCCTTGTGTATTTGTCTTCTATTATCTGTTATACATTTCCTTTACCGATAATTTCAGTAGAATTACCCATATGCAATTAACCCAATGCAGTTAAATCAACTTTTTTCGCAATTGAAAAAAATATTTATAATGTCCATATACTGAGATAAAAATACTTGAATATTTATTTATGCAAACTTTATTTCTGTGAATAAACTGTCGAACAAATAAATTTTTAAGTATTTTTTATTTCTCAATGTATAACTACACTTCAGTTCTATTAACCTTTTTTCTTCTAATTAAATTTGAACTTTTACTAATTAAATTTTTGCGTTGAATTCCTACAGATACTTCCGACATGACTTTCGCATTTAATTCCTTTAGACAGTCGAACTGACTTTTTATTCGATTCAATTGTAGTTGACGCAATCAAATTTGCTTAACCCAGAAACTTGGTTCGTCTTATCCAATCAAGTACACGAAATTTCTTTTCTTATATTACACACACTCGTCCAGAACGAGAAATAATAATAAACTAACATAGGTTACTTCTGCTCAAACATATTGAAATTCGATCCGCAAAAAATAATGATATAAACTAAACGATATGCAACTTGGTTACGACGTTGATTGAATGCCGCGTTAGACTGGAAAAGTTTTCAAATCCTTGGTGCGCGGACAAGTTGCTCCGATTGGACTCCGATTCGGTCATTCAAATGCAATGTTACTCTCTATAGCGTATCTAGCGAATGGATTCGTGGTTACTTTTCCTGACGGCTAATCTTCTTAGGTAGAATCGGGGTGCGAGCGGAAAAGAGGCTTACATACGACAAAGTGTAAAGAGAAAAGAAGGGTAGGAGAGAGACAGGATAAGAGAAACAAGAGATGAGTAAGAAAGAGAGAGAGAGAGAGAGAACACGGTGACCTAAATTAAAAATTTAAATATCTCCATGCAATCTGCATGTGATGCGAAACGAACGATACGAGACGCGGTTTAAGGATCATCCTAGTATTTTAAACAGAAATCAGAAAAAGTATCGGGAATGACTCTACATTCGCTTAAGTAATCAAGCATTATTATCAATTAATTGTATAAGAAGAATGGCATTTCTCTCAATGCTGAAGAGTTTGCGACCAGGCAGATCGCAATTGAATTCAGACTGAAATGTGATTGCGTTTTCTCTCGTATAATGCATATCTCAAGACGCTTCCAGAGAAATGCCTTTCCTCCAAGTAACGAAATTCGTACGAGCGGTAATTAAGCAGTGAAATATCGTCGGGACTACTTAGCTACCTTTGTAACACTAAATCAACCAAATCTAACTTTCAACGGTGCTACGTATATATCTTAGTTGCGCGGACAAAGGTTCGTATTCACATCGTAAATTCAACGTTAAATCTCTTTCACGGCTCGGAGATAGCATTGTACGCGATTTCCATATGACATAAATAAAACCTGGAGAATCAGGCAGCCGCATGCTGCTCCGAATTTAAGATATGAATACAGACCTAACAAAATTGCCAATCTAATCCTTTCTTTATTACGTATCTTTATTAAAATCTCCCGTGCGGGAATTCGACTACGTTCTACGAAAAGATTATATTTAGATCAGTTTCCTCCGCAACGATGACGCGCCGTATACGTGCACATATTTATTTTATCTTACATAACATTTGCGCTTTGTGCACAACGAGAAATAATCAACAAAATTTACTTTTTTCAGAATATTCAAATGATATCGAAATAAAACTTTGCCTCAAAGATACTTGATATAAACTTGAACAGTTATCACGAATCTAAAAACTTAGAAGTCTTTGTGAAACACTTTGTGTTTTTTTAACTCATTGTTGATCGGCTGTTCTCAGCGTTGTCAAATGCTTCGCATTTTTTTATATAAAACGCAGACATTCAAATAAAAATATGATCTAGTGATCTAGTTGCAAATAATATATTTTATCAAACTTAATATAAAGTGTATTGAAATATTTTGATATCTTTTTAAAAGTATGATAAGCCTTTAAAGATCGAGTAATAAAGTTGTTAAATTTGCCACCTACCTATTTAGGTAATATTGCCTTTTTGTTACATAACAAGCAATTGAAAATGGCTTAACAATGTTTAAAGCTCATATTTCCATCAGCTATAACCCTTTTTAGCACACGAATCGGAAGTTCTTGTTCTACTGGTTTGTGGTTAATTCAAAATTAAATGTCGAGTGATGTCGGATGAAAGGAATTCCGAAGGAAAGAAAGTGCGTGTCAGATTGGCGTAAGAAAAAATCAATTTCTGAGATGTGATCATCTGAATCTATGGATAAGGTCGATAAGCGAATTACGCGGACACGGTAATACCACATCGTGTACGCGCTCTTGCGCGACTATTAACGCATCTTGCGACGCCGCTCCGATAACAAGGTTGGACGCGTCCTATGGAGGTCAGCATTTTGCAAGAAGGAAGAAAGAAGGTGAAAATAAATGAGAAAAGGGAAAAGAAGCGTCGTCGCTTTGCATTATGCTAACAACAAGCAGGAACAGCGACCTCGTTTTTTTTCTTTCTTTTCTGAATCGCGCACTCGCAAGATCCGACTCGTTGTTCGCGCATGTATCCGCCGATGCACCCCGACGATCCTCCTGTGGAGTGCGACGTCGCCTCGCGATCCTCGGGCACGATGCTCGCGCACGGCAAAATAATTGACTTTTCGACCGGCTTCCCCGACCGACGCCGGAGAAAAGCCATTACCGGAACGATTCGATTTCCATGGGCCGATAAGTTGATATTGATCTGCGGCCTCGCTATACCGGCTCTTCCGTCGATATCTTTCCGGATTAACGCGATTCAATCCCGTCGCGGTTCCCTGCGGAACACAAGCCACTGTGTTGTAACGCTGAAGAGAGCTCGTTCTTTCCGCGATCTTCTTGTTGCTACAAGCGACGCGGATTGGGTCGACCAAGCTGGTGTGGTGTCTTATCGGTCCCGCGGACCGGCTGCACGAACAATTGTTCCAATGTCCTCCGCCCGTGGCGAAAAATGAGGGAAAAAGACAAAATCGAGCGTGTATTTCTGTCTTTTTTTTAATATTGTGTTGGGCGGATAGAAGAAGATTCTATACTTACGTGAGAAGACTTGTATTAATATAAAGTATTTTTCAAATAAGAAAATGTACATTTTTCTAAAACCTTAGCTTTTCGCGAAAATAATTTATTTTATTTAAATAAAAGGATTTATATTTAAATATTTTTTATTAGTACCTAGGATAAATATTTTTTATCTCTTAAATATTTTCTCTCTTTGTAAAATAAATAAATAAATAAATATATATATATATATATATATTTATTTATTTATTTCATATATATAATTTTATACACAACTAATGAGAAAATATTGTTTTCATATAATAGCATAAAATATTATTTAGTAGTATTGATTTTATAACAATATTGACAAATTTTTATGCAATTTAATGTTGTAAATTTAATGTTTTTAATGTTGTAAGTTAAAACAAATTTACACAAGTCAACTTCGATGAATTTATCAGTAATTTTAATCGAACAATAGAAAGCCTAGTGCTATTACTTAATTTTGATACCCACATAATCGTTCCCACGATACAGCCAGTAGTATAAGTCAACGATTCGACCATCCCTCAGAGTTCTACACACCCTATGTTTTAGAAGAAAAGCTCAAGTGATTATAGCGCTGCAGCCTACACACTCGCGCAATCGATACTTAAATATAACGAAGTATATTTTAATACGCTTTCTCAGATATCCAGTCACGCGTAACATAGAAAAGGCCAATAAAAGCTACTATAGATCTTGATGCAAAACTTAAACTTTAATTTTTGAGAGAATGATAATCTCTAATAGTATCTCAAACGCTCCGAAGGTTACTCTTCGACTTACTCTCAGACTTACTCTTCGCGAAGAATCCACCCTCCACGTTTAGAATCGGCTGTATAATCTCGATTACTTTTGTAATTCCCCCTGCGCCCTCTTTTGACCTTTTTACTCATCTTAATTCGATTGAATGATTTTTTTACTCATACTTAATATTTTTACTCATACTTAATATAATTTGAATACAACATTGTACTTGAACTAATTTCAACATATATTATTTTTAATAAATCAAAAGATACACCATTTGATTCTTAAGTACACATAGAAGAATTTTACTGCTTAGAAAAGCGATTACTCGGTTTATATTTCTTCGTTCAAGTAATAGTTATCTTCAACAACGAATATTTTCTTGATTAATAGTCAAATATATCTGTCATACATTTTAGGAAAGCTCATTCTCATATGCTTAAGAAAAAAATTTACTCTTTTTACAAGAATATTAGAAAACGTTATCAAAGGAAAAGTTAATGCGACTCTATATAGCAAGTAAACCGAATTTTTGCTTTAATTTAATATGATTGAAATGTTGTGAACAGGGAAAGCAACAAACTTACTATTATTCAGAATGTATTTTGAGTAAATTCGATGCTTATGATGAACTTGTGATGGCTTCGCGGATATATAAATTAACAAAGTAACGTTTACGTGAATGCAGTATATATTTTTCTATGCATAAAATTCACAAGACCAACAGGTTTGACATCACGAGCACTTCCACGAAGCGGGACTGCATTAACGATGAAAAGCAGACTAGCTTCCGTAGCTTGAAAAATGCGTATTGTGTTACGGGAATAACAGCTGGAAGGGTCGGAAACAATGTTCCCCGTTATGACGCGGTGAATACGGCTCGTCGCCGATTGCGCGTCTCACAAGGCATCCTGTATTGTGCTCGCCCTTGCGAGTTAATGGTAACCGCGATCTTCGTCATTGTCGTTCATAATTCATCCATCCAGACGCTTATCGCTGGGTTTATCTCTCGTTGCAGGAAGCTGCTTCAAGCAACGGTAAGGGCCAATCGTACGGGCCATTTCATGTGGGTGGGTAGCGATTCGTGGGGCGCCAAAGTTCACCCAGTCCGTGATCAGGAGTTCGCGGCGGAGGGTGCCATCACCATTCTACCCTATCGGAACGCCCTTCAAGGTAAAGGAGCCCGCTACGCTCGTAGCTCGATCTCTCGTTGTAATCGAATTAATTGAGGAAGTGTTTGCTCTACGACCCGCGAATTAGGGGCGAACAAAGAAACGAGAGCTAAAATCAATAATCCTGGCAACGAGTGAGCCAATCGAGGGGCATACAAATGTGACGGGGAGCCGATTAATAGTAAAATTAATACGAACAACTCGAACAGTTGTCGAAATAAGCGAAGCGTATGTAGAACAATTCTATAAAAAAACAAAAATCTGCCTGTAAGAGAAATATATGAAATGTCGGGCTATTTTTGTGTATTTTTTTGTATTTTTGGTCTATTGAATATGAAGCTTAAAATTGCCCAAATATTGTGGTTATTTTCACAAATATTGTAAAGACGCAGTTTTTTTACAGAAAAATCTTGTTTTTCAGACATTATTTAATGCAAATCCTTTTTATGACAATTGTGAATCAAAGAAATCTTTATATTAATTTTATATTTATTATTTTATTGAAATTTTTTAATTTAACAAACAATTCTTGATCGCCTGACCTATTCTCGCATCTCCATGAATCGTAATGCAACATATTCGAATTCAGCATGCTCAAAAATATAAAGATACATACATACATACATACATACATTTCCCTTACGAGAAAATTTTCGGCTTTTTCGTAGTGTTGTTCTTTTAACACGGCTTTTTTCCTTAAGAAAATACTAAAAACTTTGCCGACAAAATACTGACATTTTTCTGCAAAATTTACGTTATATTAGTTGTACAGAATTACAAATTCGTTTACGTAATAAAAGTGCGTTTACGTAATAAAAATTAATTGGAGCATTCAACATGTAATGAAAATAAAAAAAATTTTTTAATATAAAATTGTATATAAAGATATAAAAATAAAATAAAACTATAAAAATTTTAAATATAAAAATTTAAATATGAAATTTCAAGTTATCAATTATTAGCCTAATATTAGCGTAATATTTGCCTAATCTAAAAGTTCCGCAACTTTGTCCAAAAGTGTGAATACTCCAAACAGAAAAAATTTTAAGAACATTGCTGCCTTCGCATCTGAATTCAAAAGCTTAAAAATATTCGAAAAATTTGCAGGAAAATGTCTACACATGCATGATTAGGTTTTTCGCTGAATATGGTAAAACAAAGCAACACACATTTACGTAAGTTTTGCATGTTATAAAAAAAAGGATAGCGTGATTGTAACGATCGTCTCTGCGTTATCGACATTTCCAGCCACATGTGAGGATTTTCTGCCAGTCGATGCGTGACATGTGCTTGCGTACGTGGGTAGAGCAATTTTTAATATATCCTATGCGCGTCACGCGTGATTCATTTTACCGCGGAGGATCGCGTGACACGCGCTTCTTTGTAAATTTGCTAAATAAGAGACGCGCGCACAATGATGCGGCTGATTTTCCTCGGAAAGGCCGGATCCCTTCCATTCTGACGGGAGAGACATGTGCTGTCGGGATATCCGTGCCCGAGTCCGTGTCGTGAAGACAGCAGATGCCAATACAAAAGCGAACATGAGCCTTCATCAGAGGTCGGCGCGCATGAAAAATGTATTATACGCGGAAAGAGCTTTCACCGTGCCGGGGCGTCATTATATAACGCGCGCGGGGTGTTTGCTCGACGAGCATGGCCATTTTACCGCGGAAAACCTTCAAACGAAACTTGCCTAATATCCTTATAAAAAAAAAGAAAGGGAACGCCTTTGTTTCGTTGCAGCTTTAACGCTTTCCTTTCGCGTCTTCGTTTTTTAGCGCAGAATTGCTGTTCCACTTGTGACGCGTTAAAGAGCGAACCTTCTTCTTCTTCCTCCTCTTTTTCTCTTCACTTCCAAGCCCCTTTTGTCAAGGAATTTTTCATTTAGGGCATTTGAAATAAATTTTGTGTGGCCAAATGAGTCTCGCAGAATGTCCGCAGTTTCGCGATGAAACACATTGTTGAGAACTGCTTTTGCACAAATGTCCCAGCTTGCATTCAATTTACGGCGCGCTTACTTCGAGCAGAGTGATATTTCGAGCCGAAGTTATCGCGATTTGCGCGCTGAAACATAGTTGTCACGATGCATTTCGATATTGTCAGAGAAAACAAGATGTTTCTCACGGGGACACGCTCCTTTTCTGTTATTCTTCGTTATTAGTTTGTTGAGATTGTTATTAGTTTGTTAATTGAGAAGCATAATTACTCGAGAGAGAAGGGCCGCGCGCCATACGAATTCGAAACTGGACGCGAAATTTCGGGAGGAAGAGCCGCGCGAGCTCTGGTTCGCTTAATCCGCTCGTGTACTTTGCGCGGTTCCCTCCTAAATCGTATAATTCCGTTAACTCTCCCTAATTCTTTAACTTGTCGGATGCGTTTTACCGGGTCACAATTGAATTTCCTCGTCACCGGGGTCGCTTACAACTCGACAACTTCGTTGGCGAAGTAACGATACCGCCGCCCAACTTCGACGCGACGTTCATTAATCTCGCGCGACAAGCGAGTAATATTTTCCGTCGCTGAATCGCGTCGCATCATCGTCGGAACTCGTCGTAGAATTAACATTCGTGGAGCGAAAAAGCGACGCGGGGCTACTTCCGCCACGGCGCCAGTAATTAACGCGACGGAGTGTCGAACCCTCGTTAGCTGGGACGCAGAATTACCAGAAATTACGGCCCATCGAAAAAGATGAGGACCGTCTCGCCCGGGATGTCCATTAATTCCGTGAACTGTCCAACTCGAGAGAGCGACGGTATCGAGGCACGACGCGATGATTGTTCTCCGATCGTCATTAGACGCTTCTACTCCCTCATTTATCCAGAGTAATGCGCTGGTCTACCTACATTCCCATTTAATGCATCCGCTGGATGGATTTTTCGTCTTATTTCAATTTTATTTGACGACTAAGCAAATTTTATTCTATAAGTGAATATTCCTGTTGCATAAGTGAATGTAATTATGTTCCAATTTGTGACAATTGCATTCGTTTCTCTTAATGAATTAGTTGATACGCGGACCCATATTTGTCCTAAATAAGTGTTTTCATTCTGAATTTTATTATCAGTTATAACAAACTTCGAACACGAAATTAAAAGTCATAGTAAACATAATTTTACGAGCATTCTGCTGAAGTACAGTCCGAACAGTTATTTGCAAATATCTTAAAACTTGACAGTTAATATCACATGTTCATTTGTTAGATCTTTGCAGCTATTTTCTAACTTCAACCGATTGAAATAATTATGTTAAAGTTGAGAGCAGATTATAGAATATTTTATAAGCAGAGAAAATAATAAAAAAAATATTTTTGTGATTCATTCGTATATATCACTAATTAATAGTAGATTTTTTATTTGTCGGAAACTTACTTTGCTACTACTAAATCTCAGTTTTTTTTGTTTTTTAACTAATATTATCCTAATTTTAATGAAATTCAAGGAAAAATATTTATGTTCTAAAAGGACGATTTTCTTATCTTGAACGATGAAACCATCCTTACTCAGCAAAAATAAGAAAATAGAAAAATTAAAAAATTAATTTTAACAAGAATCATCTCTTGGATTGTCATTCTAAGCATGTAATATGCATATTTCATTAGTATCCGAATTTTAAAGGTCTTGTGCTTTAAAGGGTTAGATAAGAAAATTTTATTATTTTTTATTAACAAATTTATATATTTCTTTATTTTCGCATTGAGGCAGTATTTGGTCATTAATTAGAACATTCGCTTAATGTCACAAATTAGAACTAAACTGTCATGTTATTGAATAATATATACTCGTACATATATGTAAATCAGTCATTTTTAAGAAATCATTATAAATACAGTAAAATCTTTTTATATAATTTAAAAAGATACAACACAAAAAGGTTCGAATATTCAAACTTTCCCACTTTTGTGTGTACTTAGTTTATCCACGTATATATATTATTAATTTATAAATTTATTTTCACGATGAAGTTGCTAATTGAAACGTGCCTTTTATCTAAATAATCGCGGAACTTGAAAAATCGCAAACTGAGGCAAAAATTCACGAAACAATCAATCATCGGAATCCTTAATTTTTTTAAAAACTTTAAGAGTGAGAATTCTCGTTACCTCAGTAAAATTGTATCGGCATCATCGAGATCATGTAAACAACTGTTTCAATGATTCAATGAGAGATTCAGACGCGAAAATGAATCGACACGCCGATAAGCACGCTTTTCTCCGTCGAATAGAATGTTCTTGTACCTACTTTATCGTAGCCGGCGGCGACCGGAAGTTCTCCACCGGCGAAAAACTGCGTGATGCATCGGCGCTATTGAACGCCGCGAGTCGCTATTCGACTGTAACAAGTGTGTGCTTCGATCCGAACTCGTGTGTTATAGGTTTCGATGACTACTATTTGAGCCTGCGGCCGAGAATAGGCGACGAGTGTCAGGGGCAGACCGAGAGCAATGTTCCCCATAAGTTGCCGGGGAAGGTGGTGAACTGCCGGAATATCTGGTTCCGGGAGTTCTGGTCGCAGCATCACAAGTGCACTTTCAGCGTGAACGCGTCGAGTGACGTGACGCGCTGCACCGGCATGGAGGACCTTGCCGATTACGAGCAAGAGGGCCTGGTGCCTTTTGTCGGTAACGTATAGATCCATCTTGTCCTTATCGGACCTTTCGTGCCGACTCTGTCCGTCTTATCCTTATGTTGGAAACCCGTTGTAGGAAAAATGTACGATAATAGGAGATTTGTACGTGAAAGAGAAAAACAGAAAGAAGGAGAGAAAATAGAGTAAAGTTTATTAAAAACCTTGGAGTTTATACTCTCTAAAATTACAGTATTCTGTAGTATGTTGGATACTTGAGTCCGCGTTACTAAACATTTAGTAAAGTGGCAGATATATTATATATACTCAGATAGCACAAAATCTTCAGAGAATGTTCTAGAACGTCTTTAGAATGTCTTTTGAAGATTTGTGCTATATGTATATATATCTCAAGATCATGAAATTTTAATAAAAGTAATTATTTCGTGAAAAGGGCAATTATTCCCTCAAAAGAAACAAATATTACTATTATGATAAATAATTATTTCATAGAAAATAGCATATTTAATTGTGAAGAAAAACGTTCAAAACATAAAAGAAAAATACAAAAGATAGATAAGAGAAAAATGTATGGAACGCATTAGTAAAACGCAACAGAAGAACAATTTCGAGGTAATAGTAGGAGCATTGCAAGAACATTAAATATGTTCAGCTAATGTGATTTAAATATAAACTTGCTGTCTGTAAGAGTAACTGGATAGGCGAGCAACATAATTTAATAAACTTAATGTATAAAATAAAGATTTATGCTGCAATTCTAAACAGAATCGTAAGTCTCGTAACTTGTTCTCGTAAAATATGTAAGAACACTGTCCGTCATAAGTATGTAAGAACTTATGTGAGTAAATTTACAATTCTATGCAATATTATATGTCGTACAATTACTCATAAATATCTATGATTTCATGTAATTTACGATATTTACAAGTGATTGTACGACATATGATATTGCGTACAATTATAAATCTACTTATAAATTCTTACGAAATTTACGAAAAGAAGTTACGAGATTTACGATTCTGCTTAGAATTGCAGAATTATTAGTTTTGCTGCTGCTCCAACTGTAACAATAATTTCATAAGCTCACTTAAAGTGAAGAGGCATTAGCGAATTTGTGACTTTCTCAAGAAACTGAATTCTGTAAGTATGCTGTTTATACGAACTATTTTTTGTAAGAAAGAGAAAAAGAGAGATATATATACGAACTTCTGCATGAACTTTTTAACGTAGGAATTTTTGCACACTTCTATGGCATTATCGAAATTCGATAATCGACTAGTGATAAAGCCTCTAATTGAATTTGTGCCATGAAAAGGCAGTCTGTTTTGAAAAGAGGCACGAAAAATTCACTCCCTTAATATCTGAGAATTCGTTGGTCGTGGAACTAGCTCCATTGACCAACCTTAATATTTGGAATTATTGATTTTGATTAGAAATTTAATTTTCCGAGTCGCAATGTCGGCGTTGCGATGCCGAGCGTTCCGGCAATGAAATCGTCGTGCGCAATCGTCCGATGTTCGTTTAATTGTGACTCCATGAAACGTAGTTGCGTTATTCGACGAGTTAACGAAGGTATAAAGCGATGATGAACAAATTATTCCCGCTCGTGCCACAGGCCGGCTAATTGATCACGAAACGAAGGAACGTGGGGAAGTACTTGACGATCGTTTATATCCTGAGAAGAGCACGAGAGGGAAAGGGAACAATGCGGAGGGACGAAAGCAACGGGACGGGACGACACGAGCGGAAAGATAGTTATCGAAGAGAGGAAGAGAGTGAGAATAAGAAAAGCTTCTCGGCAACCCTCCAACTTTTCGTCACCCTTCGATCATTTTTCTGGCTGAGAAACAGAAACGGGAAAAATTCGGCAGCTCCACGCTCGACCGTAATTCTGGCAATATATGACGAGACTTACGTCACACGGCGGGATGGCACGCCACGATCGATTATTTTCACCGCGCGATTTCCCTTTATCTGCACGCCCGATCTCTCTTCCTCTCTCTCTTTCTCTCTCTCTCTCTCTCTCTCTCTCTCTCTCTCTCTCTCTCTCTTCCGTTTTGTAAATTATCCCCGCCCGATTTTCTCGCTGTGCGTGCAGGTATGCGCGCGCAGCTGCCGAGCGAGCGGGCCGATTAATTTTCCCGCATCAATCTTATTTGCAATCGTTGCAGTCGCGGAAATTGCGGATAATTATGACAGAATACCCAATTTTCGGGTGGAATTTTATATTGTTTATGCGGTGCACAGCGGAACGAAGACTTATTAAAAATGACATATTTTGTTATTTGCTTTGGATTATATCAGCAAAGATTGGACAGAGTTCCATTGTCTCCCGCATCTTTTGGCATAATTTCGCCGCAATTCGAAGAATTTTTAGCACTGATTTATAATAGAAACAATAAACGCATAGAAAGGCGTTCACTTTGACGCACTGTTAAATAAAGACTAATCGACAGATCACTCTATACTTCATATCATGTTTAACCTGATAAAGAATAACTCTGAAATACAGTATTAAAGGTTTAGCCAAATTTGCGCTAACTCTATATCAGGCCACATGCTTTGTTACATAACTTATTTATCCGAGAAACAGCTCCACTGTCTATCTATTAAGATTAAATTTTACTCTTTAATGATCGAAATTATTCAGCTTCTTTTCGAAGAAATATATTAATTCCACGTATATTCCCCGCGTGATGTCTTATACAGCGAACATATTAATCGTATTAATGTGCTAGTAAACTTTAATAGCGTTTACTATTTTATTACGTCCATTATCACAGAAAAAATACTAAGACCCATATTCTGAGCTTTCTTTTATCACTAAAAGCGTATCTAAAAGTGACTTATAGCCAATCAGAAGGTTTATAAGCCACTTTTAGAGGTACTTTCAGCGATAAAAATAATTCAGAATATAAACCTAAGAATATTGCCTAAATATGGTTCCTATAACAAAATATTAATGTTATTTTTCGCTCATGCACAAAATGGTTGTAGTACTTATGGTACTCTGAGAATGGTACATTAACCTTCTTTACTGCCTGTTCATATGTTTGAGTACTCTCAATGCTGTATGGTGCAACCAAACTCTATAGATCTCTCAATCATAGTATTTGTTCTACAGACTACAACAAAGAGATAGCGATATTCCTTTGGTTGAGGCAACTATGTATACGAGGATATACTAACTGAACATTATATATCATAAAAACAATGGATGTAAGAACTATATAGATGAGCATGTAATAACAGCAATTTTTAATGCCATATCTGTTTCACTTAAAATCACATAAGTTCTCTCTCTAATCATAGAATATATGGATGTAGCAACTATAGTAGTTTTCTCCGTATATGTTCAAGTTAGTTGAAGCAGAACGATTGAATCGGAAATTCTCTTTATTTATTTGTAACAGTAGTTCTTTGCTCTAATGTAAGTTGATAAATTTTGTAAAATTAAAGGAGGATTATGCTTCATTTGATTTATTTCTTTGGGTCATCCCTTTTGTTCGTAAGGTGAAAATTAAAATGCCAACAACTTCTTATTTCGTCTTTCAATTTTCCTGCCTTGGACCAAGAGATGTTTAAAAATGCTAACTATGACATAATCCAGTTCGAGCTTTCCATCGACATTAAATTTCTTCTATTAGTAATACAATATTTTATTTAATTCAATTTAATTCAACATAAAAGGCGAAGAAAGAAATCGCACGCCTTTTTTGGACGCGTTCTTTAAAGTAGACAGAAATCGCGAGAATCAGCACACGACTTTCTTCTATTCCCCTTTCAACTTTCAGCTAGAGTGTCGCAATCCTTTTGTCGCAGACAATGCAAGTGGTGTACAAGGAAAAATGTATGGCATACATTTTAAAGTCATAGAGTGTACGAATGTTGTTTCATAAAAGAGAAGCTTGAATTTGCGCATTGGAGTCGGGTCCAACTCATAACTCGCTAGTCCGAAACAAGTGAACGCCACTACATAGTGAGGATGCATAAGGGTGGAACATAAATTCCACACAATTAATTCCAGATCACTATCCCTTGCTTCTAAGCGTTCACCAGTGTTTGCAATTAACCGCAGCTGACTCTACACCGTGATCCATTAGATTGCGTACTGCCGGGATCGGACAAACTTTCGCGACGAACTTTCGAAGCGAGGCCGCGACAAATGGAAGGAGAGAAACATGGGCGAGCAAGGGAGCGAGCGAACAGGAGGGAGGGTGAAGCAATTTTCCTCGACTATAGTTTTTGCGTTAACAAACACGGCCGGTGGCGCGTGAAAAGTTGCGCGAGATCAAGTTCCCTCGCATTTTCCCGCACACGTCGAGTCTTCCCCTCGATTCCCTCGCCTTCCCCATCGTTTTACTCCGCGTTTGCCTTTGTTTCGCTTTTGTAGGAAATAAATGATGCCGTCTCGTTGAGCGCGAAGCGATCGGAAAGCTCTGCGCGATGAAGCGCGCCACCGCGAAGATAAATCTTGTAAATCGTCTTATTAGCTGCCACAAGACATCTTCCCCGCGAGCGAACAACAATTTGCGCTCCCTATCGGGACCTTCCTTATGCCTGAATAAATAAATAATGACGGCACTGTATCGGCTTCGTATTCTCGCAATGCGACCCTACGAGACGGGGATCAGACTGGGGCTATAAAACTTGTCCCATCCCGCCAAGTGTCTGATAAATCGAGCTCGAATTAAATCCTATCGCGATCTATAGACGAGTTAGGGGTATCTGCGAGAAGGGATAAGATCTCACCGCGCTGCTAAACAGTGGCAGAAGCGATGCTCCTCACAAGCGCTTGGTATCCAAAAGTACAATTCGACAGTTTCTTATTTTATTGTATTTTAAAAAGCTTGAGCTTATTAAGAGGGAATATAACTTAGGGAGCATCGAAATATGTAGATAACACTATAGCTATTTAAAAAAAAAAATTCTTTTAGAAAATGTTATATGTTTAAGTAATATTAAATAATTTCTTCGAAAAGAAGCTGAATAATTTCGAGTTAAAGAGTAAAATTTAATCTCAATAGATAGACAATGGAGTTGTTCTTCGGATAAATGATAAGTTATATAACAAATGTGACCTGAGCTAGCACAAATTTGGCTAAACCTTTAGCATGTCTTTATAATTTTTCTTGCAGAAGTACGATATTACTTTTACAATCTTTTAATTTTGATACCCCGCAATTCTTCAAAATGGCTACGCTATAAAAAAAATTTACTTTTAGAAAATGGCACATATTTTTGTCGTTTTTCTTGCAAAAATATAATACCAGTGTTGCAGTGTTCAACCCGGAATATTTTGATTAATCTAGAGTTGAACTTAATTGTTATGGAAGTTACTGTTAGATGAACGTGTCTAGGATATAGTTTCCAGCATCATTAGATATGTTTATTAAAACGCAAATACAAAACTGGTTCTAATCGCGGTATCTTTGAATAATTTACAGTGGATGCAGTTTACGCCATGGCGCATGGTGTGCACAACGTCATTGAGGAGGAGTGCGTGAATAATTTGGGCACGGCGCATTATCTCTGCGAGACGCTTCGACCAGCGCCGGACGGTCCACGACTACTCCAACACATCCGTAATGTCAGTTTCATTGGTAAGTTGCGTTATATTCTTCAATAATAATTTCTAAGTAAATACTCCTCAACACATTAAGGTTCTGACCGAACCTAATTTCAGTGTTTCATTTTCTTTTCAGAACAGTTCTATTTCTAAGGTTTCATATCTCTCATGACTTTTATTCCTACTTAAAATTCTTTCAAGGATATTTAGTTTTTTTTAAGAAAATTAATTTTTTTCAATTTGCAATTACCTTTGAAATTACTATTTTCTTATATAGAAAATTAACAATAAATATAAAATATACATAGGGGAAAAACAGAAAAACATTTTCGAAAAGTTATTAAAACAAGATTAAAATAATTTCTTTCATATAACTGATTTAAATATGAAAAAAATATATATATATATATATATATATATATATATATATATATAACTAAAGAATATAAAAATTAAATATGAAAAAATAAATAACTTTAACTTCACAAAAGACACAAAATTATTTCATAAAATAAAAACTATAAACTTGTTTAACATGACACAATTAAATTATTATTTAACATAACTACTTGTACTACTGCTACTAGTTGGTTTCTACATTAAGGATATAAATTTAAAGAATACATGTAGTTAGACAACTATGAATAATAATAATTAAATAAGATTATTTGCTTATTGAACGATTCCTACTAATATCTACTTTGCAAAAATCACAACTATAGATCTCTATATCGTAATTTGAATTAATTTTACCTAGAACATTATTAGAGCAAGATAACATAGATCCCGCAATGTTTTACTTTGCCCTTCCTCTATACGTACACTTTGCTTAACTTATAAGACACATCTCTTATATTACATATCACAGTACTCGCGGATTTTGTCAATTCGGCCGAAATTTGTTGCGTTTTACATGAATTGCATTAACTGACCAAAGATTGTGGTTAACGCGTCATTCGCGTGCCGCGCACACAGGAAGGACCGTCAAATCAAGAGGCTCGAACAGGTCGATCAATTATCCCAAAATCACAGCGTGAATTCGGCGTACGTCGGGCGTCGCGACTGCGTCACCCAGTACATCAAGTGATCAGTGACGTCAGAGGGTGGCAATCTCGACGCCCTCGTCGATATTGCAATTAAAACACTTCCCCCGATTTAACGGCACATAACACTTTCACGTTGGTGGACTGTGATACAATTAAGACTGGCCCCTCGTTACGGCGCACTATCAAGTGGCAATGCGATTATCCCGACCGTCCGTCCTCCGTCCTATCGCGTATCAGGCAAGATTTATTGTAGCGATATTGCGTAACGCTCCAACTGCCTTCTCGCCTCGGGTTTTTCCGATATCCTCGCGAAACCACCGACGGGGCCTTTTAATCTCTCACGTTTGGTCCTTTGTTCGCAAGTCACGCGCGGCTCTAGTTTACGTCAAAATGTCTTACCTCGAGAGAGATAACGCCGTATAATAATATTAGCAGCAAAAACGGGTGATCCTCTTTTTTCAACCAACACGCGCGCATCAGCGGCGAAAGTTTATTTAGCGGCACGACTCGCGTTACACCGAGCTTTAGTGAAGCTTTAATATCTGCCAAACTAAAATCGTTTAGTTTCTAATTGTCTGTACATACATCATATTTGGGTATATGATATAACATGATATGACATGATAAAACATGTTATGATATAACATGTTATGATATCACATATAGCCGTCAAATCATGACAGATTAGCCGAATAATCAACAGTCATAATACTTATGTATAACTAGACGGATATCCTTGCGAGTTTTAAACGCGAAACTTAACATAACGTTAAAAGTTTCCTCATTTAAGTGCGCTTCGAGAACTTACCGCACCTTTTTTTAAAAGTCTATTTTTTTGTATTTAATGACCGGAAATATTTAAAATTGTTGCAAAGAGCTCTAGAACTTTTCAAGAGAGTATCAAAACTTTAAAAAAAATGTCACATTTTGAAATATGGTGTGCCAAGTCTTGGCACACCATATTCAAAAATATGACATTTTTTTTAAAGTTTTGATACTCTCTTGAAAAGTTCTAGAATTCTTTGCAACAATTTTAAATAGTTCCGGTCATTAAATACAAAAAAATAGACTTTCAAAAAAAGGTGCGCTAAGTTCTCGCAGCGCACCTAATCAAAAAAACTATTTA